CCAGGCAAAAGGAACAGTATGTGCGAAGACTTGCGGTGGGGGGGGGAGGTTTTTTGTATCCAAGGAACTAAAAACAAGCTACTCTGACTAGAACATAGTGAGCAAAGAGGTTAGTTCCATTGGGTGACACTGGGGAAGAAGGCAGGAACCAGATCTTGTGGCTATTGAACCAAGCAGCCATTAGAGTGTTTCAGTCAGCATGGTGAAAAAACCTGATTGATGTTTTAGAAAGAGCATCTTGGCTGCTCTCGGGAGAATGCATAGCAGAGAGAACAGGAAAACTGGACCAAAGAACAGATGATGATTTAGATAGAGTAGAAATAGAGAGAGCATGGACTTGAGATAGATTTAAAATTCAGAATCAATGTAAGTTTGATGAGTAACTGAAAGTTGACAATGATGGAAACTGAGTCCAAGAATGAGTTCCCAGGTTTCTGACTTAAGTAGCTGGGTTGATAAAGTTTCCATTTATGGAGGTGGAGAGGCTAACAGAAAAGGTAGATTAAGCTGGAGGGAGAGAAGATATGGAGAACAAGAGCTCACTCTTAGATATCTTGTTTGATACACATAGAATATACCCAAGTGTAGATTGTCAAGTAGTTAGATATTGATTCTTGATCTCAGAAGTTTGATTTGCATATAAGGTGTGGAATGTTAATGACATTAATGTAAAAATTAAAACAATGGAAATGCATTAAATTTGTACATTATTTTGGGTAGGATTGACATTTTGATTATATTAATCTTCCCATGCAGGAACATAAGATGTCTTTCCACTTTCTTGTGCCATTTTTAATTTTTTTTTTAAGTTTTAGACAGTTTTCCTTGTAGAGATCTTTGACTTCTAGATATCTTATTTCTTTTGTGGCTACTGGAAATGGAATTGCTTTATTCAGTTCTACTTCAGTCTGTTCACTATTGTTATATAGAAATGTTACAGATTTTTGTATGCTGATTTTACATCCTGCCACTTCACTGTATTCATTTATCATTTCTAGGAGTTCTTTGTGGATTCTTTTTGGTTTTCTAATGTATATAATCATATCATCTGCAAAGAGAGATAATTTCGCTTTTTTTCCTATTTGAATACTTTTTATTTTAGTCGCTTGTCTGATTGCATTGGCTAGGACTTCCAGTACTATATTGAAAAGGAGTGGAGAAAGTGGGCAGCCTTGTCGTGTTCTAGCAATTCCACTCTTGGATATCTACCCAAAGGATAGGAATACACTCAGTCAGAAAAAGGACTTGCACATTCATTTTTATTGTAGCATTATTCACAATCGCTAAGACATGAAACCAACCCAAATGTCCACAAACAAATGAATGGATTGAAAAAGTGTGGCACATATACACTATGGAATACTACTCAGCCATAAAAAACAGCAAGACCGTGGCATTTGATAAAAAATGGTTGAACATGGAAAATTACCGCTAAACGAAGCAAGTCAGACTATGAAAGAGAGACATTGCATGTCTCCACTTAATATATACTGAATATCCACACCATATGGCAGAAACTGAAATACTGGAAAAGATAAAAGCATGGAGAAAAATTGTGGATACGAGAGACAGTGTGGGAGTACAGTAGGAAATGGGGGAGGGTGAGAGGAAGAAATCAAGGGGGGAAAGGCAAAACATTTAAGGGAGGCAAAAATAAAAAATTATCTGTTGATGATAATGTTATGATAATATCTTTAATTGGACTAATATACAGTGTATTCACACTGGGATAATTCATTTTATAAGCTGTAATGATAGACAGTGGTTGAATGCATAAAAATAAATTTAAAAAATAAAATAAATAAATAAAGCAATGGAAATAAATATAAAAAGTTATGCAAAAAATACAGAAAGAAAGAGAATTGAAACCTTTTTGGTTTTTGGTTTGGCAACATAAAGATGTGGCAAGGGGAAGGTTGGTGGCATGGTGATTAAGGTGGCTGGATCTCACATGGCTGACTACATGGTTCAAGTCCCAGATCTGGCAACTTGAAAAACATGCCAGGCATGTGTGCATGTGTGCCCGAAATCCCAACAGGTGGGAGAAATGGAGAAGATGGGATTGTCATGAGACCATGCTCTGCACAGGGTGATTTCTCACCTCCGCCCCACCCCTTTTAGCATGCATCCTGTGGCAATTTTTTCTTTAAAGAAAGGTAAGATGTAGCAAGAATAGATCCTATAGATAAGTAAAAGAACCAGATAGAATAGTTAGAAAAGAGAATAAGAGGTGAGCTAGTAAAAAATCACATGTATGAAAAACCCTTTAAACAGAGAATTATATCGATATCTTTGGAAAAAATGTGGTACTGACTATTAAGAAGTGGAAATTTTCTCTGACACAGTACTTTCTTTTCCTGCAAACATTGGAATTACCTTGACTTAATGAAGAATAAAATACACAAGAATAATCACTGAAATCCACTAAGGAACCACCTTGGCAATATCATTACCTGATTCCACATCAAGGGAGTATTTATCAATGGCCAAGTTCATGGTTTGATAGGCAGTGGTGCAAAAGTCTTCCAGAATCATGTATACTGCATCGTTGACATTAGGAGGGATAGATTTGGTGAACTTCATTCGGCTATTCACCACAATACTGCCATTTCTGAAATTCAGGATTTCTAAGTTCTGGAACCCTGTGAGATTTGACTGGAGATAGGGAACCAGCTACAATATATGAAAAGCAGTAAGTTTATTGACAGGGTTTCACATTTTGTTCAATACATTCCAAAACAAACAACAACAACAAAACAGAAAAACGTGGATAAGCTCTTCCCCTACTCTTTCTAGTTATATTCTGTTTACATTTTTAAATGTTAATTAACAAAAGTATAAATTAGAAATTATTTGTGAATCATGAGATTGTCATAGTGACATTTAAGAACCCCAGGGAATTCAGTTTTAGATATCTAGAGAGTTCATACTCTCTGCTTCATTAAAGGATCACAACAATAAAGGTATCATACGTACCCATAAAATAAAACTGACCTAGTCTCATAACGAAATTGAAATCACTGACATATTCCAATCCCAGAATTCACAAAACATGATCCTCAGTATCCAACCTTTTGCATCATTCTCATCCCACATATGTGTTTTCTGTTTCTTGTATCCATCTGCCATTGTTTTCCTACCAACCCTCAGCCATGACACTATCTGGGGATGATAAGTAAATGTCCACAAAAGATTATTCTTCTTGGCTCAGAGCTTATGTGCTGTGGGGAAGGAGTGGTTCACACATGATTATTTACTAGTGCCACATTTTCATGTTTTGTGCTTACCAATTCTAAGAATCTTTGCTCCAGAGCTTTATACTCCAATGAGTTTTTATTAAACAGATCTTCTGAAAACATCATGTTAGTCACTCGAAGGCTGAAGAAAACTAACAAAGCTCCTGTGGTCTGGGTGTGATTCGAGTCACCTCCTTGTGTGGGCTGAGTCACGATAGTCATCTCTGTGGAGTGAACATTTGTAGACATTTCCACATAACTACCAACCTTGCCATTTTGTTCTTGAATTAGCTCAGGCTGATAGTAATCCGTGCCTACCCGGTCCAGTTCTAATGAAATATCCTGTACACTCATAATTACTTCATCTTCCTGCAGGGTGGAACTTGTGGTTGGAGGCAATTTGGTAGACTCTGTCATGGAATTTTTCAACCAGAGTCTTTCAGTACTTTCTGGTGTACTTGGCAATGTGTTTCTGGACAATATCTCTAAGGAAGAAGTTCCTGCCCAGAATACATCTGATTCTAGTGACACAGTCCTCAAAGTTTGAGCTTCTGGCTTTATCATTGAAACTTTGTTGTCAAGCCACTCATGGTTGGATGACCCCGAAGTTTGTTCTATGTCCTCCTTGAGAAAAATGTCTACTTTATCTGGTTTATCAATAGAATCAGAGATTGCAATAGATGCCGGTGGAAGAGGTGCTTTGGTAACTGAGTGATAATCAATGTCAGGTACCTCTGATATATGCTTGGAGAGAATTAGAGGTACAGACGGAGTTGTGGTCTCTACAAAGATAGGCACAGTAGGTCCATCAAAGGGCTCTTCCTCTACAAAATTTGTGGAACTATCATCATGCCCGTATTTTGAGAACTCAGTAATTTGTTCTGTGGGACCCATTTTGTCATCGTTAATTAGTTTCTCATCTGCACTCTCATGCAGTAAAAGTGAATCCTCATCTTCAAGCTGTGACTTGGACAATGATTCAGTGTTCTTTTCTAATGAAGTCTCACTCCATGGCCAAGTAATTAAATCTACCTTTTGTCCAGAACCTGAACCTGAACCTGAACCTGAACCACTTTCAAATACGAACTCTTTTTCCATGGATGTGTCTGGCAGCAAATAGTTCGATTCTAATTGACCTTTGACTTTGGAGGTCAAGCCCAAAGGTATGGTTATTTCTTTAACAAGAAGATGTAATGGTTCAGAGGAGGTCACATATGGTGAGAATGCTGAAGACACGTCAGAGTCTTTCATTGGTGGTATTATTTCTTTTGGCACAGTTTGAGTAAATAAACTTGAAGGCAATGAATCAATAGAAAGAAAATCTTCTGACTCTTCAATGTCAGTCAATCCTAAAAAATAAAGTTTGCAAATAATTAATCTATAGATTTGCCAAAACATATTTCTAGTTCTCTGATAAAACTAGTTACCTGTTTTCCCCATTAACAGGGAAGTTGCTGACTTCTACTTTGCTATATCACAAACAAGAAAATCCAAAAATATGTCTATAATGTGGGACAGTCATCCATGAATATACCCCATTCCCTGAGGATGACAAGACCTTGACTATCAAAACCATTCATCTTTAAACACTGGATTTTTGTATTCCCTAAAGTTAAAGAACTGCTGGTAGCCATATTGATAACAAAGATTAAATCTAGTGGAAATTTTCTAGGAAATTTTGTTTCTCTTTGAATTCCCATACTTCCTGTCATGTTTATTGCCCATCATCCTTCAGAGTAACCCAGTGTTCAAAACCCTGGACTCTTCATATTTTTGTTTCTCTTCTTCTTTTCCATGTATTCTCCATCCCTATGTCACATCGATCAATTTTTCCTTTCCTCCACAACTTATATAAGAGCATCTGCTTTGTTTTCACTTCTTAATTTTTGCTGTGGCTACCCAGGTTCAGGGTCTCTCCTTCTTAATACAATTGCCTGATAAAGTATTTGAACTTGGGCCCCTCAATTAATCCTATAAAAAGTTACTAGAATAATCTTTTTTGATGCTATTTAACACTCCAATATTCAAGTAAATAAAATAATTTTTAATGTAATTTAATTAAATGATATACTCTTCACTATAAACTTCAAAATATATATTATCCCTACCCCAGTTCCCAAAGTCCTTTTCTTCTTATTTACTTTTTTTGGACTCTTCATTCTAACCAACTAAATATCATTGTTTCTTCTTTCCTTCTAATGAATACTACCATGCTTTTCTCCTAATCATAGTCTCTTTCTTCTTCAAAACACTTGTCATCTGACATAATAAAATATAAAAAGTAAGTGAGTTGAGTTCCTCACCATCTTCCAATACTTGAGATCCGGAAGTCATTTCCTCAGAAGCCACAGTCTGAAGCACTGCTGAGGTGACAGCATGAAGAGTCGAGTTGCTAACTTCTAAAATCTTCGGAGAAGAATTGAGGGCCACCTTCAAGGGAAAGGCTAATTTGGGTGTAGACCCCAAATCACCCAAAAGGGTTTCTGACCAAATTTTGCTGCCAGTGGTTGAGGAAGGGCCAGAGTTGAAATCAAGGAGTGAGACGCTGCCTGTGGTGGACTCATCTGCTGAGGGCCATTCAACCTGAAGGGTGTTATCCTGGGGAGGGAAAAAAAGGTAAGTCATATCACAGATAAAAGAAACACACAAAAAATGTTTTAAATACCACCTGTTTACCCACATTCTCAGATTTTCTAGGAACAAGAAAGCAATATAATAGTGGGGGTGGGAGGACATTTCTAAATCAAACAGATCTATAGTTGAATTCCAATTTAACCACTTTCTAGTTGGAAAATCAAGAGAAAAAAAACATAAAATACTCAAAACTCACCTGTAAAGTGGTAATAGATAATATATTTAAAAGACCCCAAATGAAGTGAATTTTAAATGTTTATTGCCAGAGGATATGTGCACTTGCCAAAGAGACAGGAAAAACCAAGGGTAGAGGAGGAAGACCCCCAATGGGGCTTGGTCATGCCACAATCACTTCTCCATTTCTTCAACCCATCAGAATTTTGGGCATATTTTTCTGGTTGCAGAGACTGGATCTCACATTGTAGTTCACCATGTGGGACCCAGCTCCCTTAAACACTGGGCTATGGGGCTGGCCCAAAAAAAGCTAATTTGTGTAGGAAAATATTGTTTCTCTTGGTTTAGATGTTTTGTTTCTCTCTGTCTTATCCATTTAAATGACTTTACATACAGAAAAGTTACTAATACTTGTCATTTGTTGGCAAAGACCCAAGCACATTGCTCACAGCAGAAAATAACAAGTAGAACTTTCATCCACCATTCTGCAAGATATTTAATTAATTAAGGGTCTCCATTTTTATCAGAATTGTTGCCACATCAAAATGTAGTCTGGTAATGAGCAACCATGCCTATCAAATGGCATCACATTTACAAAATGCAAATGATTTTCTCTTTCTAAAAGAGACTTTTTACTAGTGTGGTATTAATCTTATCTTAAAATTTAGCTTTAGGCAATCTATGAAAAACCTACAGCTAATATTATACTGAATGGGGAAAAGCTGAAAGCTTTTCCTCTGAAAACAGGTACTAGGCAAGGCTGCCCACTTTCTCCACTGCTCTTTAATATAGTACTGGAAGTCTTAGCTATTGCAATCAGAGAAGAGAACAGTATTAAAGGCATTCAAATAGGCAAAGAAGAGTTGAAAATATCTTTATTTGCAGATGACATGATGGTATACTTAGAAGACCCAAAGGTATCCATGAAAAAACTGCTTGAAGTAATAAGTGAATACAGTAAGGTGGCAGGATACAAAATCAATATCCAAAAATCTATAGCATTTCTATTTATGAACAACAAGTTGAATGAAGCAGAGCTGAAGAAAGGAATCCCTTTCACCGTAGCCACAAGATGTATAAGATATCTAGGGATAAACCTAACTAAGAAAGTCAAAGACCTTTATAAAGAAAACTACGAGAATCTTAAAAAAGACATTGAAAGTGACATAAAAAAGTGGAAGGACATCCCATGCTCCTGGATTGGTAGAATTAACATAATCAAAATGGCAATTCTACCCAAATTAATCTACATGTTTAATGCAATTCCAATCAAAATACCAGAGATATTCTTCAGAGATCTAGAAAAGACAATTATAGAATTTGTCTGGAACCATAAAAGACCTCGTATTGCAAAAGCAATCCTGCGTAAGAAGAATGGAGTAGGAGGCATATCACTCCCTGATCCCAAGATATACTATAAAGCTGTGGTCATCAAAACAGCATGGTATTGGCATAAAAACAGACATGTGGACCAATGGAAGAGAATAGAGACCCCAGAAATAACTCCCAAAGCTTATAGCCAACTGATCTTTGACAAAGGATATCAGTCAATCCATTGGGAAAAGGAAAACCTCTTTAGTAAATGGTGCTGGAAAAACTGGGTATCCACCTGCAGAAAGATGAAACTGAACCCCCATCTTTCACCATTAACAACAGTCAACTCAAAATGGATCAAAGATCTGAACCTAAGACCTCAGACAATAAAACTACTTGTGGAAAATGCTGGGGAAACTCTGGGAGACATTGGAGTAGGCAAAGACTTCTTAAATAAGACTCCCAAAGCACAGGCAATAATCCCTAAAATAGACAAGTGGGACTATATTAGACTAAGAAGTTTCTGCACAGCAAAGGACACAGTAACAAGTGTGAACCGACAACCCTCAGAATGGGAAAATATTTTTGTTAAATATGCCTCAGACAAGGGACTGATAACGAGAATACATAGGGAACTCAAGTGCCTTATGCGAAAAAAAATGATTAACCCGATTAAAAGATGGGAAAGTGAGCTGAACAAAAGTCTCTCTAAGGAAGACATACGAACAGCCAAAAAGCATATGAGGAAATGCTCGACATCCCTCATCATAAGGGAAATGCAGATAAAAACCACAATGAGATACCACCTAACCCCTGTCAGAATGGCAAAGATTAAGAATATAAAAAGTGATAAGTGTTGGCGGGGATGTGGTGAAAAGGGAACCCTCCTACACTGTTGGTGGGAATGTAAACTAGTTCAACCACTGTGGAGAACAATATGGAGGTTCCTCAAAGATCTACAAATAGAACTACCATTTGATCCAGCAATCCCACTTCTGGGTATTTACCCAAAAGACAGGAGAACGCTCAGTCAGAAAAGTGCTTGCACATCCATGTTTATTGCAGCATTATTCACAATTGCCAAGACATGGAACCAACCTAAATGTCCACAAACCGATGAATGGATTGGAAAAGTGTGGTATATATACTCTATGGAATACTACTCAGTCATAAAAAATAACAAGACCCTGGAATTTGATAGAAAATGGTCAGATATGGAGGATCTATTGCTGAGTGAAGTAAGCCAGGCTATGAAAGAAAGATATTGTATGTATCCACTCAATATATACCGACTATCCGCACTCTATAATAGAGAGCAAAAATTCGGAGGACATAAACACAGTGAAGGTACTTAATGAGAATAGGACAGTGTGGAATGGGGTAAGTGAAGAGAAGAGGATAGAGAAAGATAGCAAGTGAACAATAGAGAGACAGGACGTTAGTGAGAAACAGATAGGGCTTATTAACTGTTGATGATGACATGTATAGTATTCTCAACTGGATTGGTCTGAGAAGTATTTCATGATGGGCAAAGTATTTTTACAAGCAAAACGAGAAATAGCAATTGACTGTTTTATAAAAATAATTAGAATAATAAAAATAATGATTGGGGAAAACAGAAAAGATATGGAATGTTGAAGTGGGGAGATTAATGTCTCTGTACTGACTGACATGCATGGCATTCCCTTTTGAAAAAACAATGTAATACACTGTAAAGTTATATGTAATCCAATGTAATATAAAGAAGATTATGATGATAATAAAAATTTAAAAAAAAAAATTTAGCTTTAGGAATAGAAAAGTAGACAAAAACACAGTCCTTAATCATGCTAGTTACTTAATCTTAATAAGAATAGGCTATGTAAAAATGTTTAATAATGATGCTAATATCTGGTTATTGGAAAAATCATGACATATCTTTCCGTATTTCTATGCAAAAATGCATCATGACTTTTCTGATGACCCAGTTTATAAAAATGACCATGGCATTTGGCAGGAGTTTTTATATTTGAATCTATGCTGGGTTATAAATAACAACAAAAAGTCCCATACACATAAAAGCAACTCATAAAATATTTCTTGAGTATATGAAAACTGAAAAAGAAAAATAGAAAACAACAATCACACTCAACTCTAAGTAGGTATTAGAATGTAAATAATTAGAATTATTGTTTAAAATACCAATACCCCACACTCCCAAGATTCTAAATTAATTGGCCTTGGAAAGGGACCTACTGGTACTTTTAAAAGTTCCCAGTAAGGGACAGAATCTTATCACATTCTGGGTATACTTTTTCAACCTGAGTTTCTATCAATAATATACTTGTTTCATTGCTATTTTGTTGTAGTTCTTATCACCTAGAACCTTTAAGAAAACTCCCATGCTTATAAATCTAACAAAAGACTAAAACTCATGGAATAACTGAAAGCAAAGTGAAGCCCATAAAAACTAGAATACAAAATTCTGAATCTAGTACCTTTCCTCTCTTCCAGGAGAGTCCTATCAGTGGTAGTGAATGTTCACTGAATACTCTCAAGTCTATATGGTTTTTGAACAAAAGTACCTATTCTTAAGGTAGCTAGAGTTCACTCTACAGCCATGTAGAACTCACTGACCTATGGAGGGAGTCAACCTGATACATGGCCTATTTGTCTCTTACTCTCTGTGTACACACCTGTTTTAATTTCACATCAGGGGTCTGTGTGAGATCAAGGGTCTGTGTGAGGAAGTTTTGAACTGCACACCCTCCAAATCACAGAGGAGAGACTGAAAGGCAAGAAATAACCACATCCTAATTTATCCCTCTTTGTAGTGACAAATGTGCAGGAAAGATAATAGCAGGTCGTCATTGGCTATGTTGCCCTCAGTTTCATCTACTTTTTTTTTTTTTTGAGAGGTTTTCGCTATAGGGCGCATGCACTCGCCAGAAAGACAGAGAGAGACAGAGAGACAGAAAGCGAGAAATCAGCCCCCCCAGGGGGTATGGTCACGCTGCAATCCCTTCTCCTCCATTCTCCTCTTGGGATCTTGGGCACGCATGCACACGCGCCTGGCATGAGTTCAACCCACCAGGTCCGAGACTCGAACCACAGTCGACTACATGGGAGTCCAGCGACATAGCCATTACACTAACTGCTGGTCCCTCATCTACTATGTTTAAACTAAAAGCATTCTGTCACATAAACTGGTTCTCTTTCACGAGATTCAGTTACACTGTCACTTCCTGATTTGTCCGTGCTGTTTTAGTTGGGCCCTGTGTTAACTGGTCTGCCATGCTGCTACTTTGTACTTGACACCACCAGCCAGATCCTTCTTTTGGCTGTGCTCTACACTAGGACGCAGCCCCTGTGAACTGCCATCACCTTGCTCCCTTGCTGGGTGTCTTCTGTTTGAGTTTGGCCAATGACAAGCACAAGCACAAGCAAAAGGTCAAAGGACAGGAGGGGCAAGAAGTCAGGGATATTTCTTTCCTGCT